TTACTTATTTGGCCTGGGATGGGACCCTGGTATCAGCACAGTGCCTAGTTGTAAAGTTCTATTAAAGTGTACATTTAGGGCCAGGCACGGTGGCTCACACCTGTAATCCCAGCACTTTGGGAGGCCGAGGTGGGCAGATCACTCAAGATCAGAAGTTCAAGACCAGCCTGGCCAAGCTGGTGAAACCCTGTCTCTACTAAAAATACCCATCCCCACCCAGCGTATGCACAGACACCCTCACGTTGTTCTTGGTTCACAGCAACGACATAGACACCTGTGACCCATCCCCCTGGCAAAGGCCAATTTGCCATGCAGATTTCATCAGTTAGTATCTCAGACCCCATCTCCAAAGGCTGTGACAGAGATTGCCAGCTCCCAAGTCAATCTTTGGAAGGGCTCCTGGGTCACAATGCCCTGAGCCTTTATAACCCTCTGAAATTTTACCTTTCTGAGCCAGAGGCAGCCCAATCTGAACAGGGCAGAGTGGGAAGAAGACAGGACTGGAGTGAGGTAGGACATGGGAAAGGGGGGTAGAATTAGATGGGGAAAAACAAATGCTTAATGAAGCAATCTAGAGCTCAGGAAGAGGGACCTCTGTGGGCAGGAGAGCGGCTCACCTCCCGCAGCTTCTCCTGGGCCTCAGCAAGCGCGGCTTGCTTCTCCCGAAGCTGAGCCAAGGCAGCGTTCATCCGGATCCGCTTGGGCTCCACCACCCGATACAGCCGTCCATACAGCTGTGGGGAGCCAACCAGGCTGTGGGGATCGCCCACCAACCCACCAGCCCCCTCACCTCCAGGCATCCCCTCCTTCCACCTGAGTCTGTGCATCCACCCTCCTCCCAGGCATGCCCTTCCTACCCCCAGCCCCAGCCCAGCCGCCCTTACCTCCATGGCCCGCACCCACATGCAGAGGGACTTGGCAGCCAGGGAGACGCGGCCAATGATATCAGGCTGGAAGTCAGGCTGGGCGCAGTAGGCCCCAATCTTCTTCAGAACCTTATCTGAGATATTGTCTTTATCAAAGTTGATCAGTGACTTGATGAAGTTCTGTTCCCCTGTGGGATGAAAACTAGGGGCCTTAGTCAGAAGCCTAATGCCATCCTCCTTGCCCAGCAGTTTCACCTCTACTACTCGGGCCTTGCCACATTTTTCCTGGGCTCAGTTCCTAAGGCCAAACTATCTGAACCTGGCCTCTAGTTCCTCCCTCTGACTTAGCTCTGTCTCTAGGCACGTCTCAGCCCCCAAGGTCCCTGACGATCCTCCCAGCTCCTCTCTCACCACTTACCTTAAACTCTCAGCCAAGCAACCCTACAGTTTATTTTTTTCTCTTCACTTTGCACTTTCTTCTAGGGCAGGGATCACCAAACCAAGACTGGCAAGCTGTATTCTACGATGGGGACCCAGAGCAGAGCAAACCACGGGAATAGAACACAGGGTCCCGGTTCCCATTTTTGGATTCTTGTCCCCTCTGGGGGCCTGAGGGCATTCCTGACCTTGGATTCAGGCATCTTTAGGACAATTTTGTTTAATATACAGATGCTCCCAATAAACCCATCATACATTTAAAATATGGTAAATCAAAAATGCATTTAATGTGGCTAACCTACTGAATGTCATAATTTAGCCCAGCCTAACTTACGTGTGCTCAGAGCACTTACATTAAGCCTACAGTTGGGCAAAATCATTAACACAAAGTCTATTTTATGACAAAGTGTTGAATATCTCATGTAATGTATTGAATACTGTACTGAAAGTGAAAAACAGAATGATTGTATGGGTACCATTGTAAAGACACAAAATCTTAAACCACTGTAAGCTGACTGTCAGTATGAAGATGACCTGTTTTCTGTTACTTATAACCAAATAATCTTTTTTAAAATTTCACATTTAATAAATTCTAAAAGCGATCAGAAACGTAGTTTTTGCTTTTTCTTTTTTCGTGAAAAGAAACAGGTAACTTTGTAAAAAGTCAGAAAATACCGGTAACAACCAAATAATCTTTTTTTTGTTTTGTTTTGTTTTGGAGACAGAATCTAGCTCTGTCGCCAGCCTGGAGTGTAGTGGTGCAATCTCAGCTTACTGCAGCCTCTGCCTTCCAGGTTTAAACGATCCTCCTGACTCAACCTCCCAAGTAGCTGGGACTATAGGCATGCGCCATCATGCCCAGATAATTTTTATATTTTTTTGTAGAGATGGGTTTTCACCATGTTGCCCAGGCTGTTCTCAAACTCCTGGGCTCAAGTCATCTGCCCACCTTGGCCTCCCAAAGCCTACGGCACCCAGCCCACAACCAAAGAAACGTAACTGATATTCATGCAATCTCCCTTCTACTAAGCCCTGTGCTCTTGAGGGTGGGTACAATGCCTCAACCATTTCTATCCTTCTGTGTGTCTGCTGCACGGCCCAACAATCAGTAAACACTGGGTGAGCGGAAGTCATTTCTCTCATGGTCTGTAGCTTACCTAGCTGCCTCTTGGCCTCTGCCCACGTGGGCTCATTGCCTCGAAGAATCATAACTGCCTGCATCACTATCTCCACTTGGGCTGGGGGCCGTCCGTAAGACTTGATCTCTCCTATATCCTTCTTGTTCAGAGACTCCAGGGCCTGGGGAAAAAAGGGATAAACTGAGGGAGCAACTCAGGGGATAAGACAGGTCCTTATGGAGACAGGACCTAGCTGAGGTACCACCTCTTCTTCCCACTTCCCCAGAGTCTTTGAGGACAGAGAAGTCTGGCCCATTCCCTTCCCCGGGGCCTCCCACTCAGGCTCCCATCCTTGTATCCGCCCCTGGTACCCGCATGGCCTCTTCCAGGGCGGGCAGTGCCTCTTCTAGATCTTTCTGGGCATTGTCAGCCAGGGCCTGACACTTGATTTCCTCAACTGCAATCTTTTCACTATTGGCTGTTACGGCCTAGGGATGGAAAATGGACAAGGGTTTTCTGTCTTTGCCTTGGGCAAAGATGGGAGTGACGGTGTGGGTGGAAAAGATGAAAGAGAAAGCTAAATTATTTATTTATTTATTTTTTGAGCCGAATCTCACTCTTTCACCCAGGTTGGAGTGCAGTGGCGTGATCTCAGCTCACTGCAACCTCCGCCTCCCAGGTTCAGCGATTCTCCCACCTCAACCTCCTGAGTAGCTGGGATTACAGGCACCCGCCACCACGCCTAAGTTTTGTATTTTTAGTAGAGATGGGGTTTCACCATGTTGGCCAGGCTGGTCTTGAACTTCTGACCTCAGGTGATCCTCCTTCGGCCTCCCAAAGTGCTAGGACTACAGGTGTCAGCCATGGCACCTGGGTGCTAAAGAAAATTTAAGAAGGGGAACGTGGGAGTGGGGCACAGGGGTGGGCGTGGGCCCTCGACCTTCTGCTGCTCATCCGCCTCCCGCTTCTGCTGCACAATGATGACCAGGTACTCCTCACACTGCTTCTGGAACTCAGCCACCTTCTTCTTGGCATCCTCCAGCTCCAACGACATCACTTGCACCTTTTCCCTAGTTTCATCGATCTTGAACAAGCCTGTCCGCAGCTTATTGGCTTGGTCTAGCAGCTCCTGCCGTTTTTCTCCCAGCAACCTGCAGGGGAGCATAGGACAGGGTATGTAGAGGGGCGGGGCTCCCAGAAGCAGAGTGTCTTACCTTCCCCGTGTGTCTCACGTCCGCCTCCCTTTCTGTTGACACCAATGCTACCACCACCACCCTGGTCGGGTTTCTATCATCTCCTGCCTGGGTCATTGCCAATAGCTTCCCAAGGGGTCTTCCTGATTTCAGGCTCTCATTCCTCTGGTTTATTCTACTTACCACTAGTGGAATCAGCTTGTTAAATAGTCTCCATCACCCTACATCCCCTACATGAGAATCTTCCTCTGTTTCCCACTGTGGAACAGGCAGGCAGGCTGGCCCAGGGCAGGAGCCGTTCCCTCAGCTCCAGCCTGACTTTTGCACTGTGAGAATGAATGTGGGCCTAGCATTGCAACAATGTATTTCTCTCTCTCTCTCTCTCTGTCTCTCTCTCTCCCCTCTCTCCTTTCTCTCTCTCTCTTTATTCTAGAGATGGCATCTTGCTTTTTTGCCCAGGCTGCTCTCAAACTCCTGATACCAAGTGATCCTCCCACCTCAGCCTCCCAAAGTCCTGGGATTACAGGCATGAGCCACTGCACCTGCCTCACAATTTCTGATTTTTAAAGATAAGCTAAGAATCTGGATGTTTCTAAGGCTCCCAAGTTGTAAATATTGGCAGCTCATTCAAAAAGTTTTCAGCATTGTTCAAGGGAACAAAAAAAGAGTGTGTTTTTTTCTGTACTAAGTGAGAAAATGCATGTAAAGGGTTTGTCACAGTGACCAGCAAACAGTAAACAGAAGGTAGATATAAGCTTGTATACTCAGGCATGAATTTTCTTTTGTTTGCTGGTATATTACAAGTGTCTAGAATAGCACCTGGCACATATTAGGTGCTCAATGTGTTAAATGAATGAATAAATGTTGACTATCATTATTATTACAACTGGATTTTTCTTCACCCTGATTAAAATACTTAACCCAAGGTTGGCACAATGGTTCACGCCTGTAATCCCAGCACTTTGGGAGGCTGAGGTGAGCAGATCACTTGAGGTCAGGAGTTTGAGACCTGCCTGGCCAACATGGTGAAACCCCGTCTCTACTAAAAA